AAAAAAAAAAAAAAAAAAAAGATATAATAAGGTGAAAAGGAAGGAAGGTAAAATGTGGAGTACTTACACCAAAGAAAGATGAGGTAATCAAAACAGGATAGAGCCTGAGGGTCCAGTTATAGAGTGAGACTTTATTATTGGAGTTTTAAGTAGGGGGAAAGACTCACTAAAATCAGGCTTTAAGGAAGATTCAGCAAGCTGTAAGCAGAGAATGACAGGACAGAGAGCGTGCCTTGGAGGGACTGCTGCTTTCTGCTACTAGGCAGTAAAACTGAGATTATGGTAGAAACAGGAAGGGAAGGAGCACAAAGATGATTCACTCAGTACAAAATAGAGTAATAGGCAAAGAGTTGAAAGGTAACATTAAGGTTTGAAAAGTAGGAACCCGGGGTAGCAGGGGAACACTGTAAAAGATGAACGAGGCAGAAAATACTGATTTCTGCTCAGTGTAAGCAAGTGCGTCAGAGAAAGGGGTTAAGAAGCTATGGTAATGAGGAGGAACAGACCAAGTTCATAACTCTGTGCTTTTCCTCTGAGGTCTAATGGTACATGTTAGAAAAGACATAAGCACTGAGGCCTACTATAATTCTGTAGAGTAGGAGATTGTTTATATCAGCTTTTGCTTTTTTCTCTTACCTGCTAATACTACTGTTCCTTTTAAAGCAAAGGAGGGCTAATTTTTAAAATAATTTGGCTACTTTATAAGTCCTTTAATCCAACAAATAATTAATGAGCTTCCAGTACTATGCTGAGTACTAAAAAAAAAAAAGGTTGTGAGAAAACCCTGTGGGATTTGCAGTTTATATGTTGCGCATACACACACACACACACATACACACACACACACACACACACACACACACACTTATATCTGTCTATACCTTGGGTGTGAAGAACATCAGTGTCAAAAGTTGACATAAATTTTAGCTTCAATTTTGACAAAAACTTGGAAACTAAGTATGTTAAAAATATTTAACAGGGCTGGGGATTTAGCTCAGTGGTACCATGCCTAACTCATAAGTGCAAGGTCCTGAGTTTGGTTCCCAGTACCAAAAAAAAAAACAACAAAAACGTCAGGGATTTAGCAATTTAGCTCAGTGGTTCCGCTGTCTGCCTCGCAAGGGCAAGGACCTGAGTTCGATCCCCGGTACCAAAAAACAAAACAAAAAAACCAACCAGTATGGTTGAGGCCCTACTAATCAGAAGAATCATCAGTCATGTATGTGGTAGGTAGCTCCCTGACAGTCCCCATGACCCCTACACCTCTTGGTTGCATGCCCTCATCTAACTCTCACCTGAGTGGGAGCTGGACCTTTTGTCTGGCTTCTAACCCCACCACACAGTAATGTGACGTGACGCCTGGGGTCAGTCACAGAAGACCACGGCAATCTTCCCTGCCTGTTCTCCTTCTCACCCCCAGTCTCTGACTTGCTCACTCTGAGGAAGCAGCTGCTATTTATTTTATTAGCTATCCTATGGAAGGAGCCACAGGCAAGGAATAAGGGTAGTCTCTGGCCAACAGCCAGCACCTGAGACCCCTCGGGTTAACAGCCCACAAATAGCTGTATTCCCCCTGGCAGCCATGCGCAAGAGCTGAAGGGAAACCCCTGTGATAACTGAAGTGACCGTAACCTTGGCTGATGCTGTCATCGCAGGCTTGGAAGGGACCCTAAGAGAGAGGACAGAGTAAGCTCTGTGTATTCTTAACTCAGAAACTCTGAGAAAATATATATGATTGCTTTAATCCATGTTTCGAGATAATGTGTTATGCAGCAGTGGGTAACTTGTATGCTATGCTTTTCTCTTAAGCCCGGCAGAATATCAGGTGCAAGTGAAAGATTTCAGCTTAGTGATTCAAAGCGTCCAAGGTCTCCATTTCCCTTTCCCTTTAGAAACATATTAAACAGTTAACATACAACAGAGGAACATTCCTAGGTAAAGACCAAATCCTGAAAATCTAGAATACTGGCTACTGCTTTTGCATTTACGCAGCTCATAACCCTAATCGTGCCTTTTCTCTTTTGCCCAGAAAATACCCTTTGGATCAGACTTTACATTTTTCTAGCTTTGACCTTGACTTTCTCTTTTGATGAGTCTTATATTAAAAAAAAAAAACAAAACTTTCCTTCAAATAACAATACTTTCAGCCTTTCCAAAATGATTACCTAGCTCCAAGGACTGTCTGTGGTATTCAAGGCCTGTGATGCCACTGTACTGTTCTGGTAGAGAGATAAGGTCCAAACGGAAGTCCCTAAAGCTAATGCTTTTTAACCACTTTTTGCTGCATTTATGTATATCGTTCTCTTTCCTCAGGAACATCTCTCACCCAGAAAAACTCTCATGATACTTAGTAATTTTCAACCCCCATCCCACACCAACCTATCAGACTTTGGAAAAATAAAATCAATACAATTTTTAAAAGTTCTTTTGATGGACTAGGACTATAGCTCAGTAGTGCTGTGGCTGCCTGGCAAGGACAAGGTCTTGAGTTCAGTTCCTGGTCCTGGAAGTTCTTCTGAGGCTGTGTAATACATATAATATTCATGACATTTACAAGACTTTATTCATTTGTTTATTTGTTTGACAGTACTGGTAACCAACCAGAGGGTCTCACACTGAGCTACATTCCTAGCTCCATTTTTTTAAAAAGCTGAGACAGGACATCACTAAGTTACCCAGGCTGACCTGAAAATTGTAATCCTCCTATTTTTAGCTTCCCATGTAACTGGGATTACAAGTATGGGCTACCGTACCCAGTCCTAGTCCCGTACATTTCAGAAATCCTCTTATGTTAGATTTCAAAAGATATGGGTTAATTTTGATAAAACAGCAACTTAATAGAGGTTTAGAAATGAAAGAGCATTTACCTATGTATACATCTAAACCACTGCCAGCTAATTTTTTGTACAACTGAAATATTGATAATGCTATCCCTATACCAATAGAAATATGCCAGAATTCAGAATTTGCTTAATGGCACACATTGGCCCAAGAAGTAGGCTAGCAATATGCAAGCACATTCTGACATCTGGTGGTGACTGCAGAATTCTGCACTTTTTAAAAGGACATAGCCCCTAGGTCTGCATCTTCATGCTAAAGAGTAGGTACCCACTAAAACTTCCAAGAAGATTAGCTGTTACCCAAGTTTCAAATAAGAGGCTGGGGATGTAGCCAGTGAAACACACCGAAGGCCCTAGATGCAGCACCAAGTATCACCAAAACTAAAAGTTATATAGTACGTCTCGCAAGTTATAGCACGTGTATATTTTAAAGGAAAAAGTTCAAAGTCTGTTGAAAGGCCTTAAAATAGATGTTGATATACCATTTTTGTCCTAGAATTCCTTTATAATAAGAATTGCCCTTCATATCATCATATACATGAAACAATAAAATCTGACCAAAAGAGCTACCTGGAATTAAATTACATGACCAGTCAGTCACTCCTCTGTGTCCACACCTGAGTGGTACCTAGTATATGGCAGGTACACAATAAATATTGCCAACTTGAAAACAAAGTACAAAATAATTAACTGAAATAAACTGGACTATCTGCTCTAAAACTTCACTGTACTCTTCCAACCTACACAGGTGCTTTGGTTTATTCATGTGACAGTTTAAAATTCAAGATGGGGATTCCGACTGCCTTTGTAGTAATTAATAATTAACAATTCTAATTTTGGGTGGCAGCCCTTAACCCAGCTTGCCCATAATGATTCTGACTCAGTACGACTCTGAGATGTTGCCAACACATTCGTATTTTGAAAAGATACCATTAGTAATTCTATTTTTAAAAAAATGTTTAGTCTTATATTACTTAACCACACTCTGTTAAACTGTAACTAAGGTTACGCTAATGATGAATAACACAAAACCAATTCCTAATTCAAATTTTGCCCTAGTTTACTTATACTGATGACATGAATGTAAGTGCATTTAATTCCTGGAGTTGATTACAAATGCACACATCCTGTGATCCCACTTTTAGGAAGTCTACAGATAAACAGTACTTACATGTGCTTTAAATGACACATGTTCAAGGTTAATCATGGAGTCATGGCTTATAAACAGCAAAAAGACTAATGACCATTCAATGCCACTGGTAAGTGACTGCTGAAAAAATGGTACATCATATACTGGAATAGTGTGCAAGGGAAAAAAAGAAGAAAGAAAGAAGAAGAAAAGGGGGTGGGGGTGGGGATTTAGGTCAGTGGTGCTTCACCTGCCTCAAAAACACAAGGTCCTGAGTTAAATCCCTGGTACCAGAAAGAAAAATATAAAAATGAGTATAGCTTTTATATAATTTGGGACAATCTTCAAAATAAATTGCTGTGACTTTTAGGGTATAAGTGGTGTGCTAGCTTTGTGTTAAAAGATGAAATGCATGCATATACACACACACAAATACATGTATAAAATTCCTTCTTAAAGATATCTTAAAAAGGTAACAGAAACTAAACAGTAACATCATGAGGGTCAGGAGACAGGGTTTGGAAGGAGACTTTTCACAGTATGTTCTCCTAAAGTTTGAACTATGTGAGTTTATTGACCATTCACATATAAATATATATATTCATCTCTTGGCACTCATGAGGTACTAGCTCTAGGACCCCTATGGATAATAAAAGCACAGGTGCTCGAGTCACTTATATAAAATGATGTTATATATACATATCCTCCTGTATACTTTCAATTATCTCTACCTAATTTATAATCCAATATAAGTGCTATGTAGCTGTTATATTGTATTGTGTAAAGAATAACAAGAAAAATGTACATGATCAGTACAGAGAGAATTTGAAAATCTTTTTCATTCAAAGTTGGTTAAATATTTGGATGCAGCAACTTCAGACATGGAGGACTGTGTAGATAATTTTAAAAATCAAAAATGTAAAATAATTATACATGATACATTCAATCAATATTGGGGGAAAGGACACTGATGGTGCCCAAATGAAAAAATTATTTTAGGGCTGGGATGTAACTCAGTAGTAAAGCACCTTCCTAGGCAGGAGTGCATTAAAGCCCTGGATCTGATCTAGGGGAAAAAGAATTACTGAATTATTTTAGATGGTCACACTTGGGCATTCCAATGACTAACTGAATAACCATATGTAACATATTAAATGAGTTACTAAGAGATTCATCTATATCTGAATCACCTGTCTTCAAAGTTTTGCACATCTGGGTCCAACCTCCCTCATGCTGTAGCACTTCAATGCTTAACTGTTTAAATTATCTGAACAAATTTGGAATCATCTTCTAAAACTGACCATTCTGTGGCTTATCTTTCTTCAAAAATAAGGAATAACTTCCATGGGGTCAGAACACAAGCCTGGGTCTTCAATTTTAAGAACAAAGTATCATTTTGTCATGCACATACTTGACAACAGTTATTTAATTCATGGGAAAACACAACCTTGTGAGGAACGACCATCCATTTCCACATGGTTCCTGCCAAAAGCTAGTACGTAGTCTCACAGAGGAATGCACACTCAGTGCTTCTCACTGACTTTCAACAAAAGCTTCTTATGGGCAAGGGGAATGAACTTCAGTCCTAAGAAGATATGGAGCTTGAAGTAAACTAACAAAGGAGAGAACATTTTGAATCCTAGTTTTGTGTATTTAAAATATCCCTACAAATTGTAAGCCAGGTGTAGTGCAGCACACCTGTGATCCCAGCACCCTGGGGAAGCTGAGGCAGGAGGATCACAAGTTCCAGCCCAGCCTGAGCCTCCCAGTGGTTTAGCAAGACCCTGTATTAAAATAAAAATGGTGGAGTTGTAACTCTATAAGCCCTGGGTTCAATCTCCAGTATTTTAAAGTAAAATAATTTCATTTTTTAATTTTTTCTTTTATTGAGTTTATTGGTACATTTTAGGTATACAGGACAGTTACAGTCATTATTGGGATCTTGTACCTTTACATGACAGGTGGTCTTGGTTCTCATTTTTTCCCCTTGTAAAGTAAAATAATTTCTATAAATTGTATATTTTACTTCACAATGTTTGTGCTTACTTTAGTATAGAAATGATAAAAATTCCAACCTTTTCCCTCAAGAGTATTTCTTTCCCAAATCTTTGAAAAGTTTTTTGATGTTCTTATGCTCTCCCATCACACTGCCCTTGTTTCAAAAGTATAGCTATAGGGGATATGGAAGCTTTCTCTCAAAGTGTCCAGATTCAAGTCTTACTGTAAATAGAAGCATCAAAAACTTGTGGCAGAGCTGGGGATTTAGCAGTGGTTCCGGTGCCTGCTTCGCAAGTGCAAGGACCCGAGTTTGATCTCCAGTACCAAGAAAAAAAAACAAATCTGTGGCTACCATACCTGTCAATACCAAGAGATGGGGTAGGGGTGCAGAAAAGTGGTAGTGCCCTTGTTTAGCAAGCTCAAGGCCCTGGGTTCTGTCCTTAGGACCATTAATTATCTAAGAGGAATATAATTTATCTTTTTATTGTGCAATGTACTACATTATTCTTCAAACATTTTTCATGTTTAATTTTATTGCTCCCAAAATAAATGGCTCCCCAGTAGTGCTCATCCATTTTCTGTATCTCTATTGAGAGTATAAAGACAGTTAAGGCATCTAGTAAGTTCATGATTTACCTCAGCTGAGAAAAGCACTTGAATGTGTTGGATTACATTAAAAGCTATTATCATTTGGAATTTAGTTGATTGACAGAATCCACTAGCAGTATCACAACTGTGGATTTTAAGCGGTTTTTAACAGTTAAAATTTGAAAGCTTCCAAACTAAAAACTTCAATAATTAAAGAAGCACTGAATCAATATTGTCAAAATGGTGTTAAGCAGTAATGCCTCTATATGTCCATCCATCCACCCACACTAGTGATGGAACCCAGAGCTTTGTACCCTGTAGGTAAGTGCTCTTCCACCAACCTACATCCCTAGCCCAGTAAGGTCCTTTTTCAAGGGACAAGCATGCTACACAACAGCCTGCTGTCCTAATTTGAGTGCTCTAGAGACAATCCCAGTCAGATTATGAAGTAGTTCACAGAGAATCAGGCTGCCTTCCCCCAAGGAGCTGGGACTCACCGTGCTGTACCAAGTGCTCCACGATGCCCCTCACCACCATGGGCACCCCGTCCCTAGTGAGTCCCTGCTGCTGAAGCTCTGGCAGGCTGACTCCAAATAACTTTTTGTAGGCAGGATCCTGCTGTTCGCTCAGTGGCACTGCCACTATCTTTTTCATATCTTCTCTCAGCCGAACTGCTGCTTTACTTTGCTTGAAAGGACAGAAGAAAAAAAAGCAGTTAGTCAGGTTGACCACAGGAGGGTGCATGGCTACAGAAGAAACAAACACCTGAGTTAAAATGCAAAAGTCTGGAGATGAGCGGTAGCAATCTTCCCTTAATTTTATGCCAACTCAAATCAAAATCTTTAAAATTTCTCACAGGTGCACACTGATCTAATTGTTAGAAATCCCCCAAAATGAGACACCTAAGGCCACAACTTAAGTGTAGCTAAGAGAGGGAGCAATACACAGCAGTCTCCAAGAGACATTACTATAGCAATCGGAGGTGTGACTCAGAAGTACTTGGTTAACAGGAAAATAAAACTCTTAGAATGCTGACACCCTTTGCAGATCCTGAAACAATGAGACGTTTCTAAAGATGAAATTTTATCTAGATGCTATTTTAAGGTAGCGTTCAGAAGAATACGTGTGCAATGAACATTTTATTTATCTGATTTATTTATATCTATAATTATGATTACATACTTTTAATATATAAAATTAATTAGTCTCATTGAAGTACAAAATGCTATGTCTCTGACAATATTTTTGCAGGTCATAATTTTAAAATTTTGACAAAACTTTATATATATTAATAAAATGTAAATTATGTTTAATTGCTTCAAGTTATTACCACCACAACAAAAATATCCATACAAAATTATTTCTTCCTTTTAATAAAAATTTATATCTCAAGGCAGAGGAACTTTTAAAATCATGTACCTTATGTAGATGTTATATATATTTATGTAAATTTAAACACTGAAGAGAAAAATGACAAAATACAATTTTATCTGGAAACAGAGGCAGTAAAATTGAGAAAAGAGTCACCTTTTGAGAATGACTATAGCAACTAACCATTAATATTATGAAGTGATTATCATTTAGTCATAATAATAGCCTCAGAATAGAAACATTACCTCTATTCTAGAATTGAAAAAACAAAGAACAGAGAGGTAAGTCATTTGGTTAAAGGCTAGTACAAGACAGTTTCATCTTGTTCCTTTCTTTAACTTATATTTATATTAACACGATAGCGTACTTTGCATATAATTGTAGTAACAAAATGATAAATACTATAGGTGACACAAGACAGTGATGTAAAATTTAATTCTACAATCTTTATTTTCAGTAGGATCTTTGTCATTTTAATTTGTTTTGAATTTTATAATCTGCAGATTCAAGCCAACTCATTATCATATTTGCATCTTTAAGTCACTTTTATAACAAAAATAAGTAACTTTGAAAACCAGGCTCCCTAGTGAAAATTCAGTAAGTGTAAATTTGCAATCGAGATTTAATATCATCGTCCCAGTGTTAGCTATGGTGGATAGCTGCATGGGTAAGAACCATGATCTTTTACCAGGGAAACTGTAATCTTACTAACTTAGCCAAGTTTGTAACTAATCACGTTTGTCTTGCGGGTTTCTAAACATCCCAATCTCCTACAATTGAATAAACAGTTGTCTTTGAAAACAGACAAAACTGCAGCATTGGAAACAGCTGACAGGGCTGAGGAGCTAGCTCAGAGGTGGAGTACTTGTCTGGCACACACAGGACCCTTAGTTCAAGACTTAGCACTGCACAAAGGAGAAAGAAAACAGCAGATGGACACTGAGGTTAAATTACGCAAATTCAGCACAGTGATTTGGAGTATGGATTGCAAAACCAGACAGGGATGACTTCCATTCTGACTCTGGTTAACTGTAACCTTCCCCAAGTCATTGAACCTTTGTGTATTTCAGTTTCTTATCTATAAAGCAGGAATACTAAGAGTTCCTATATCACAGGAACATACAGGTGGAAACCTGTTCATACACAGAGATGACTGAGAACAGGGCCTGGCACTCTCAATGAATATCAGCTGTTCAAATCCTCCTCCTCTTCCTTTTCCTGGGAATTGCTACTTTCATTTCTTCTTAATGTGATGCAGAGTGACTTAACCATGCCCGTAGGGAAGGAAGGAGGAGGGGAGGGGAAAGAGGAGGGGAGGGCAGGGAAGCAAAAGTAAGGTTGCTTTCTAAAATGGTAACATGTCTCAGACACATTTGGTTAGTGGTAGTCTGATGACCTAATTTTTCTCCTCTGTACATCTCTACTGTTCTAAAATCTCAAATTGTCACCCTTAAATAAAGATAAAATAATTTTAACTTTTGAAATTTCTTAAATTTTCTTAGAATTTTCAAGGTTTTTATTGAAATTCTATCTCTATTTGGATTTAAAACCTTGAATTAATGTTCTTTCTGCCCCTGGGTCAGAGCTGCAGACAGTACGTTGTGTCTTCCTATTTTGACTTAACTGCAAATTAACATTTGTTTATTCAAAACAGTCATACTATAAATTATTTACACATAATCACAGTAATAAAGGAAGATTATGGTTAGTGCTTTTAATTTGTAATCCAAGGCTAATTCCTTAAAGAAAAACAAATTCTATTTTAAAAACAATGAAACATAAGTTATAATTTTAGAACAACAAAGAAGATTTAACTATTGTTTTTACTTGGTAATCAATTCAGGTTAATACTTTTAAGACAGGAAATACTGTTTTTAAAACAGCCACAATATAATATGATAGCTGTATTTGCAGAGCTATCCAATATAATCCTTCAGTTAACATAAGTACATCTAAAACATTTTATTCATCTAGCTTAGCTGGAAACTAATAATGACTGTTTGTAGGAGTGTATACATATATAAATTACTAAAGAATATAAAACAGCTTGGAATGAATATCCTTTCCAGTAAGCAAAAAATAACATTCAATGGTTCTTTAGTCATAAAAAATAAAAATTACTATAGAAAAGAAAAACCTATAATCAATCCATGTAAAAATTATTTTTTACTCTAAAACAACGGTTACATCATTACTGTCTTGTAAATCTGAATACTGAAGGTGTTTCAAGTTTCCTTCAAATGTATATCTCACTTATCTTGCCTTAATAGAAACTAAAATAACAATTACTAAATGAGAATTCTGAGTCCACCTTAAAGTTTAAACTTTATCTATAAATTCCCATATATCATTTGAGTTTGAAGACAGGATTGAGTACGAGTATGTGTGCATGCATATGGAAGAGATATAGGTTCCCACATACAAAAGACCATCAGAAAACCTAAGGATTCTGCTGTTAGCACAGTCTTCAGAGGTCATTTAGTGTCTACACTGTCACCTTAGGAATAAAGAACCAGGACCCCAAATGCCGTGATGAACTCAAGTGAGAAAGTGGCTGGGCCGAGAGCCCAAAGCTCTTGAATTTTATGTGCTGGTGACTTATTTGTGCTTTTTAATATATGTTTAATTATTCATGCTTTTATTTTGTCATTTATGCTTATTTTATTTTTATGCTTATTTATTTATGCTTTTTTGTTGTTGAAAGTATAGTTAAGATGGCTAATAAAATGCACTGTAGGACCCTGGTAAATATGTGTTGGTTGGGGCCACCCAGCCTCCAGTTCTGTTCTAATAACAAACCCTGAGAGTAGCACCCTCACTGTGAAATGACCCCTCAAAATGACCACACAGCCTCTAGCAAGGACTTGCCTCCATGTCCCCACCAGGGGAGTCAGACTTTTCTCATGCAGGCCACTGGAGTGTGAGCCACCAGTAACAAGACAGACAACAACAGAGGATTAATAGCTCTTGACATCTCATCCTTGACGCGGACCTGGCCATTCTTCACCATTCCTTCTACTCGGTGGGCTACTCTACCTACCTAATTTAGCCAAACCCATTTCTGTTTTATAGCTACACACAACACTAACTGATAAAAATATCTTGAAACACTAATAATCAGAGCAAATACCATGGCTCCAAACATTCCATACAGCTTCATTCATTAAATCCTAGTATCTAATTTTAAAAAACATGAGGGAGATATTTTAGTGATCTCCAATTTTTATTTATTTTTTTTTGGGGGGGGGTCTTGGGGATCAAACTCAGGACCTTGCACTTTCAAGGCAGGGGGAAGAACCACTGAGCTAAATCCACCCCCCATTTTTTTTCCATTTTCTTTTTTTTTTTTTTTTTTTTTTTT